GTGCTTGTGTTTTGTCAAAAAAAAAATGTAAAATTGAATCATGGTCCTTAAATGATTTCAGGAAGTGGGATACCAGGTGAATTATTTGGATGGACATGATTACTTGCTATCCTCAATTTTTTTTACATAATACAAAGTTAGACCAGGGATTGGAGCATTTCTACAAATTAACAGAATGAATAACACCGCTTTAAACATATTCAACTGATGTTTGAGCCAAATCAACTGAAAGGAATTTTGCTAGTAGTTTTCCCAACAATTGGTTGAGATTATTACTTGATTGATATAACTTTTTTTATTTATCAACTGTTCGAAATGAATGAAACAATAAGTTGATTTAGTGAAAACCTCTGACAAATCGGCTGAGCCGTTTTTTATATCAGCGCACAAACACACAGAAAAACAGACAGAATAATTATAAATCTTTGTTTTGAGTTATATTGCTTCAATAAAAACAACCAAAAATAGTCATACGTAGACTGTTTAAAAACTAAGGTGAATTTCAAATTTCGCGGCCTTATACATTTGATTAGCGATTATTCAATGTTCGTCTCGAACATATGTTCACAATTTGACTGGTGTGAAGTTATCCTCATCCACAAAGTACACTAAGAAAAATAATTTGAATTATTATTTTTTTCGTTTATCGACTATGTACACCTACCATTTTCCATTATGGTACACTTAGTGGAAAACAGGAACCGTCGCAGCTTTTAAGCCGTCGGAAGTGGTGAAAATAGGGTGGAAATATTTTAAAAATTCGTAACATAAAAAAATCAACTTTGTACAACTACCTAACTGAGAAATGTTAGTCCTGATGACCGTATCAAAAAAAAACTTCACGACATAGTTTTCTAGGCCGTCTGAGGGGGTGGAAATGGGATGGAATATTTTAAAAATCGTATCATCGAATATTGAATTTGTACACCTACAAAATGGAGATATGTTAAACCTGACGACCGATTCGACAAAATAAACTTCACGTCAAGAGTTTTCAGGTCGTCTGAGGGGGTGGAAATGGGGTGATAACTTTTGAAAAGTCGTGAGAGGTATAAAAGTTAGAGGTGTTTTGCGTGTTAGGCGATTTTCTGCTATCGAAAAAAAGAATTTGCATAATTTTGTATGAAAAATGAAATTAGGTGCTCAAAAACACTCGAAATAATGTTGACAGTGACATACGGTAATTGTACTCGGAGTCAGAACAATATTTATAAGTGGTACAAGCTTTTCGCAGAAGGTCGTGAAGAGACGCTAGTCCTGGACGCCTCACAACATCAACAACCGATGAAAATATTGAGAAAGTCAAGAAAATTGTCATGGAGAATCGTCAAATCACTATAAGAGAAGTGGCTGTGTATGCCGACATATAGGTTGGCTCATGATATGCAATTTTTTCGGAAATTTCAAGCATGACGCGTGTGCCAGCGAAATTCGTTCCAAAATTTCCCAATTTTGATAAAAAACAGTTGCATGAGCATCGCTCAGGAATTGTTGAATGACGTCAACGGCGATCCAGATTTGTTTAAAAGGAAAATTTTTTGCCAAAAAAATTATCCTATCAAATTTGTCTATTTACAAGATCAACGGAATATCATTATACGAATTGTTCTTTTAATAACTGTGTGTTCTATAAATAATTTTGTTCGAATTGCAAAAAATTTTCTCACCGAATATCCCTCGAACATTGATAAATAACTCATAATTTTATCACAACTTCCTCAAGCACGTTATTTTAGGTAACATCCAAATAACGTGCTTTCGAAAACTGTGATAAAATTATTTCGTTAGTTATCAATGTCCTTGGGATATTATAGCTGATAATAACTGCTGACGAGTCATGGGTATACGGTTAAAGTTTTGAATAACGAAATTGATTGTAGTGACTCGTTATGACAAATTCATTTTCTTGTACCTATCACAATCCAGGCATATGATTGCTTTCTACAATAGGAATCCTAGGACAAATTTGTTGAAGAATCCGCTGATATTTGTAATGTGTCAGTTGTTCAAAAAAGTGTCCGACCTGTGCGATATACATTATGACAGCAAACAGTTTGTTTTGAGAACTATTTAAAATTCCATGCTATGATTGTTTTTCATTTTGTTTTTGTAATCTGAATATACTCTCTAATTATTTGCATTTCCTCTATTTGTGTATGTAAACCTGTTGAGAATAAACATATTATTATGACATCGAAACCAATCGTCCCAATGGACGAGCCCATGAGAGCCAAGACCAATAAAAGCACGCCAAGTTTGATCAAATGTGAAGGTTTTGCTAACTGTTTTCTTCGATTGCCGTGGCGTAGTGCATCAAAAGTTCTTTCCACATGGTCGTATTGTCAGTAAGGAATATTATCTCAGAGTAATGCGCTTGAATATACCTATGCAAAGACAGCATTTTGAGACGATTGAGGAGATGAAAATCGAATCGCTGAGAAAGCTCAAGGACATACCAAAAAATGCATATCAGAACTGCGTCGAGGATTGGAAAAAACCCTGACACAAGTGTATTTTATCTGAGGTGGACTACTTTGAGGTGGAGAAATTCATGAATGGTCATGAATATTCACCTTATTTTTCGAACAGACAGCATATATCTTCCATGAACAGACATCGGCCAGTCACACTTTCATTATATTCGAATATGTTGAATAGATATAGTCTCAGTAGACTGATATTGTGAAGTTTAGACTAAAATAATTGAATGCATTCATTTGAACAATTAGCTATTTTGAATAAACACCTTATTCAATTGAAACAACTCAATTTATTAAATTCAAATCAATGCAAATATGATCAAATCTGGTGAGGGTAAAGTATTTTCAATAAATCAATTTCACGCCGGATGTTCCAAATTCTACTCATCAGATCTATTTCAAATAATACAAAATACTAAATTCAGTCAGGAAATCTAAGAAAAATGCTTGTAACTAAGAATTTTAGGACCCAGTGACACCTACGGCCTGATGACTTCGACAATTGAGCAACCAGCCAAACGTCACACCCATGTTCAATACCTAATCATAGGGGAGCCCAAGCGGGGATTTCAGGATTTACTAAAACGCGGCAGATTAATATTCAGGGGGATACCTTGTACCCGGTTAAGTACCTCCACCAAATATGAGCCTCATATATAAGGCCGCCCGTGAAGGATAAAGGATCAGATTAGTAAACAAAAATTGATCATCAGAAATTCTCGAGCGCGTCAGATTAAAGTTGCGTGAGTTAATTACATGCTAAGAAGTGTATATTCCAGTAATCTGACAATTTGAGAGTGACGTAAAGAAAGGGGAGGGCAGCAAAGTTGTAAAAAAATAACGTCATTTCGACATTCTCGAGCGTAGCTATTTTTTTTTATTTTGAAGGAAATAATTCAAGGATAACGAAAAGTATATAATCTGACGATTTCCGCAACCCGAAATGACAAAAATTCGTCGATAAAGTTCAATGCGTGCAGCTGTGTGATACCTATATTTCCCTCTTCGCGTTTCTATTCCTCTTTCACTTTTTCTCTATCTATTACTCTCTCACTCCGTCCCCATTCTGCAATCTGTTGCCACGACGCCATCACAGCTGATCACAGATACTCGTTCGTGATGAAGATGATGATCAATTAATCAATTGATTACAAATAATTAAAGTTTTTGAGCATATTTTTTTTAATTATTTTCTTATAAATACAAGTATTCTACTTAAAAAACATACACTTATTCATTTGCATGCTATCTCCCGAGCTTTTCAATTAATTAAGTTCAATGATTGAAAAAAAATATTTTTTTTTGTCAGATTAGGCGAATCCCTCCAGATAATCATCAGATTATGAGACAGCACGTCTAGAACATACAGATGAACCATAGGTATATATCTTAATCTGACGCGCTTGAATATTTCAAAATGGCGAATTTTTTTGTACATTATAATGATGGCCGCGAGTTTGCGTCAGATCGAAATCGTCAGATTATTGAATGAGAGTTTTTTTTGGTGCACTTAACACCCTCTTAGAAAATCTGACGCGCTCGATTAAATTTTTTTTCTTTTTACTTTAAACCCTTACGTACAACCACCCGCATCATGCAAACGATACGAAGATTATTAAAAATACGTAGGACATTGATGCTATCAATATCTGACGCGCTCGAGTATGTCCATGCAACAGTATTTTTTACATATTTAAAAAACTATGGCCGCTTGCCCCACCGATGAAAAGATATATATTATATAACATTTTTTTCTTCTTATCATCTAAGCTTTGCAACCTAATATGTCTCTATGACGCTCGAGTAAATCCCCATTTTGCATCGTGGGCTCCCCTACTATAAAGAGATGGGATGGAATCAAAGGATGAAGTCTTGCCAGAATCACCCTCGGAAGCTGGCGCCGAAGAAATATCTGGCGACGATCAGCAAAAACCTACGCTTAACAGTAGGATTTCTGACTGGCCCAATATTATGTGGATAGTGGACACACCTCTATGCAGGATGTGTGAACAGGGAAGATGCAACTGACAGGCACGTCTTATGTGAGTGTCCGGAGTTATTGTCAATAGGAGAGTGTGTGTTCGGCGAGTCTTGACCTACACCTGCCGATATCAAGTGACCTGTCGACCTTCCTGGAAAGGAGAGGATGGACAATGATCTAGAAGGAAAACTCCTCGGGAGGATGTACAATACATCACATGTGGTCTAAGTACTATAGGCCTACACTCAGCCTCCCTACTCTACAGATGCAGATACAGAAATGCTTGTAACTAACCCCTGGAAGACGTCTCTTTGTTACACCAACTTGGTTTTTGAAATGCGTATCGTGAAGAATGTTGCCACGTTTCTGATTCTTTGGGAAACTTTTTTCGTTAGATTCATTCTATAGGCATTTCAGCTATACCTATTAATAACGTGATATATCCATGTTTATTCTCCTGTGCATTGTATTACATTGTTTTTATCCGGTGATTGATGTTGTGCCTGATGCTTACAGAATTGCATTGAATTGAATTATAGATGCCGGAAGAGGAGGCGTTCGCGGTCCTGGTCAAGATCATGGAGGACTACCGGATGCGCGACATGTTCAAGCCGAGTATGGCGGAGCTGGGTCTCTGCATGTTCCAGCTGGAGAATCTCGTCGCCGAACATCTTCCGGACCTCAACCAACATTTTCAGTCGCAAAACTTTCACACGTCGATGTACGCTTCTAGCTGGTTCCTTACTTTGTTCACCACCGCCCTTACTCTGCCGCTGGCGTGTAGGATAATGGACGTCTTCCTGTCGGAAGGCATGGAGATCATCTTCAAGGTGGCCATGGCGATGCTGACGTTGGGCAAAGAGGAGCTGATGTCGTTGGATATGGAGGGCATGTTGAAGGTACGTATTTGTTTACTCAATATGCAATTGCGTGAACATTCAAACCCTAAAAACTACTGTATAAATATGCCTTTGTGAATAAGAGATTCGTTAATCGAAATTAAAGGGGGTGAGAGAGTATTTTATTCCGTGGCTTATAAAAGGAATATATTAAAATGGGATTCATTTACGAAGGATATTTCAAATGAGAGTACCATACCATTAAGTTTCATAACAAGAAGCAACCTAAAGAAAGGTAATCAAAATTATTAACTATTTTATTTCATTCAATTTGGAATAGATTGAGTGGTGAAAAAATATTAGAAAACTGCCTCAGATATGATATCAACTAACTACTCTACAGAGCTACTCACAAATTAGTGTGAGATGAAGTTATCCGAGTTTCAAAATATTGCTATTTTGTTATTAAGTGACAAACATTTGAAAAATGTCAATTTTTTCGCCATTTATATTACCAATTGTCAACTGTTACCAACTTAACAGGGTGTTTATTAAACATGCGGCAAAACATTAAGGGACTATTCCTTGGACTATTCCAAGAATATTTTGTCCTTTGATGATTTTTGATACGACGCTTTGTTTCGAAGAAAAGAAGAAAAAGAATTCGACAATAACAATTTTGGTAATTTTAAAATTTATAACGTAGCCGAAATAAATGTATAGCGTACTACACTGGACCTACCAAGTAATAAAAAAATCTAACAATTCCATTGGTACTTATCAACAACATTCCGATTACTACAAACGGCTGCAGACATTCAATTTGAATAGTATGTCTCGTAAGTTATCATTTATATGTGTAGAATAGGATTAAACTGATTGACTTTGTCTATTTGACGTGCATTTTCTGTGTTTAATATTGAAAGTCTTGTTAGTGAAGTCCTCTATCATGAATGACTATAGTAACGCAGAGATGGCTGACATGCATTTCATTTATGGACTCGCTGATGGCAATTCATTGGAAGCTAGGCGGTTGTACAGTGAACGATTTACTAATCGTAATGTGTCTAATAGAAAAACCTTCCAAAGTATACATCAACGACTTCGTGAAACAAGAGCATTGAGTGAAATGGAGGATCAGGAAGACCAATGACAGTAAGAATGGTTGAAGTAGAAGAGAATGTGCTGGCCATAATAGAAGAAGATCCAGGTACTTCTACTCGACAAATTGCAAATACTTTAAATGTAAGTAATGGGACGATTTGGAACATTCTTAGAGAATATTTGTTGTATCCATAACACATACAACGAGTTCAAGCACTTCTTTCTGCAGATGTTCTTCCACGTTTTGCATTCCGTCAATGGCTTTTGCGCACATTAGTACAAATCCCTCAACTATTGACGCTTATTCTTTTTACTGATGAAGCCAGTTTCTCAAGAAATGCCATAAGGAATTTCCACACTAACCATGTTTTGGCTGAAAAAAATCCACATGAGGTGATTGAAGATCGCTTTCAACAGCAGTTCTCGTTAAACGTTTAGGTGGGAATTGTAGGTGACTTCCTAATTGGACCGGTATTTCTGCCAGGAAGACTTACCGGCGAGGTATACTGCAACTTTTTGGAACAAACGCTACCTCAGTTTCTGGAGGATGTACCATTGGTTACAAGAAATGTATTGTGGTTTATGCAAAATGGTGCACCAGCCCATTTTAGAATATTGGCTCCAGAGTTTTCAACAGTAACATGCGGAGATCGCTGGATTGGTCGAGGTGGACCTCACTTAAGGCCTGCTCGATCACCGGATTCAAACCCTCCAAATTATTACCTAAGGGGACACCTAAAGTCATTAGTTTATACTACTCCAGTGGAAGATGTGGAAGATTTGAGAAATCGGTTTGTAAAAGAGTTCGGGAGTCGATGAGGAGAAGATTGAATTCTTGCATCCGAGCGGAGGGTAGTCATTTTCAACAGTTCTAGTAGATTAAGAAACATCACATGTAATTTTTGGTAATAAATTGTTATTGTCGAAATTCTTTTTCACTCCGTATCTTCGAAAAAAGCGCCCTATCAAAAATCATCAAAGAACAGAATATCCTCAGAATAGTCCAAGGAATAGTTCCTCAAATGTTTCCAAGTGTCCCGTTGTTTCCAAGTATCTCGTTGTTTCCAAGTGTCCCGTTGTTTTCAAATGTCCCTGTACCAAAAACTATTGAATATTTGAGGGATCTTCTGAGGGTCAATGGTCTCAGTGGAAAAGTAATCATACATACAATTAACGTAAATTTGCATGGACAAAAATGTTGGGTGCCATATGTAGACGATGTATTTGCTATATTTGATACAAAGAAATCGAAAGCAGGGGACTTTGTTTCAAATCCTAATAACAGATCCCCAACAACGAAGAGTTACCATTCTTGGATGTCTTAGTGATTAGAAGTAACCAGGGTCTAGAATTTGAAGGAAATTTTGGTGGCCTCGTCTTCAATGTTTTCATCATTTCATTGGTTTGAAGGAAACAATCAGCAAAAATCCACTAGCTGTGTAGGATAATGTAGTACGAGATAAGAATGAAATAATCATTGGATAAATAAACTGATTTGATCATTGAGATAGGTTCAATAATACGACTATAACAGCTATATTGTACAATATAGTGTGTGTGTGTGTGTGTGTGTGTTGAGAAATTCGCCAAAAATTTATTCAACCGCGGTTTTATCAAAACAAATAAGGTTTTGTATCCACTGACATTTTTGTTCGGATTGTACACAAAGCATCATGCAAATGAGATAAGCCATATCTTTACATTGAGGTTGTGTTTTATCAACGTTTTGACATATTCCAAAATGCAGCAGTTATTCAGTGTAAGGATTGAAGTATTTAAGGTTTCTGTAGGAATTCGAATGTATTCACAAAACTATTTGAGACTTTTTGAGGATATATCATTTCTGCACATTGTTTTTGAGTGAAATAATTGAATAGGTTTTGTTATAAGTGAGAAAGTAATATTTTTGGTTTTAGTATTTTCAGAAAGAACTACCAGCTCATGCTGAAGCAGACCCAGAGGCGCTGATGCAGTCTGCCTATGAAATGAAATACAACGCGAAGAAAATGAAGAAATTGGAAAAAGAATACGTCATAATCAAAACAAAAGAACAAGAAGAAATGGCCGAACTGAAGGTAACCATTAATTTTGACTTGCCTGTGGTCAGATTTGCAAAAAGATAGGTGAACTATCAGAAAATTAGTATGATGAGATTTTTCTAGAATACTTCATGAAACAGCAACACTTATTGAATTGAAAAGAACTTGATAAAAATTGAAGTGGAGAGTAGCTTCATCACTTAACTACTTGAATTTAAATAAATAATTATACAAGATGTACAGGATGACCAATTTGCACATGCAGTATTTCTAAAAAGAATAAAATTGTGTAATTGTTTTATGTGAAATTTTATGGAATGACAGTTTATGTTACTGAAAGTACTGCTTTCCTAACGCAGTTAAACTTTTCTACAGAAGTGTTATTTTCTGTCATTTAATATATCTACGCTCTACAGAAAAATTGTTTTTAATTTTCATTTCATTTATAATTCAGCACATGTTTGTACGGCGAGTAATATCCTGTTTCATTTTATTAAAGAGATAAGATGAATTACTTCAATAAAACATTTTCCCACACAGAAGAACTACAATGCTCGCCTCAACACGCACAATTCATCAACAAAGTTAGCATCATATTTTGTACCTAGGAATAAAGCATTCATACATTTGTTTAGTTTCCTGTGGTATATTATTGAGTATTGTTGAATTTTGAGGTTCGAATAACAATAGAGTTATATTCTACTAGAAGTTATGTGATTAGAAAACATGTGTTACTGATTATATTCATTAATTATTTAAAAACACTCAGGTTGTGAAGCAAATATAGGTTCAGAGAAAATAGTTAGTGAAACCCAATATAAAAATCACGTCGATATGAATCTCATTCACTGTTTCTAGAATTCCTTTTCAAAGGCTTGGAAATTGACAAAAACACATTCGTAGAAAGACTTTCGAAAAGTCTGTTACCATGAGTAACGAACACTTTTGTTTAACAGTGTTTCAAAGTAATAATTCTAATATTTGAAATATTAGAATGTAGGCTTTCACAGCTAGGGTCAATGTTTTGGTTGGTTTCCGGGTTTTGCTGTGGTCTTCTTTGGTTACAATCTCCATGCGTTTCAACTGCAATTACGCCACTGTAGATGACTGCCGCAGTTGCAGATTATAACCAAAGAAGACCACGGCAAAACTAGGAAACCAACCAAAACAGTGGAAATATTTATTTATTTATTCATTTACAGGCGAAACCATTTGAATTATAAATTACAATGTTAAATTATAATTAAAATAAAATCAGATAAGGTACTGAATTACAAATTGCAACTAAGAGTAGCTTAAAAGGGGTAAATTTAAAGTTTAAAAGGGGTTAATTTTAGAGTATAAAACGACAAAAAACAATGAGCGACANTTCTTCAACATCACTTGCATTTCCATAATCAAGTATATCTTCAATAGCACGCAACCGATCTCCTTCATCATTCGAAACATCATCTTTGTTTTCATTATCGTTCCAAAATTCATCATTATCTACTATTTTCATCAACCTATAACTGTTTATTAGCCATTGTATCTAAAAACACAGTTAGTCTTTGTTAGTTGAAAACAATAATAACAAACCAAAATTGTTTCTTTACCTTTTATGAAATCACACAGAAACTATAACGATAAAAGTACCCACGGGTCCCGTGGACCCAAAATTTATTCAAATTCGTTAAAATGGATTTAAAAATTAATGCGCACTCGTCAGCCGTTCGATTGCAACTATTTTGAGGAATACTCAAGAGTAGGAACGCGAGGGATTACTGTATAGTACTTTTTGACAAGAATCAACATGTCTATGGATCCACAGGACCCGAGGGTAGCGGTTACAGGTTAACATAGCAGCGCCATCTATTGATTACTCACTCAATCCACTCAACAGATATCGCCATCTGTTAAAATCGTTTGGAGTTAACAGATAATTGTGAATGTCAAATAATAGACAAATAATTTGCAATAAAATAATATTGCGACTATAAATTAAGATGTAAGCTATTCTATCTTTAAAGTTGGATCAAACTTCACACGGTGTGCAAATTTGATTAAAATCGGTTAAGTAGTTTAGGAGTCCATCGCGGACAAACAACGTGACACGTAATTTATATATATTAGAAGATGTATCTGAGGAAGTTGTGTTAAACATTTTCGACATTCTCAATATAAGTTACACACGTCAAATATCGTTTTATTTGAAAAGGAAAATGAAATTATTCCAACTCGTTGTGCTGTATTTCACTAATTTAATAAATCCATGAAAAACTCATAATTTCTATCAGTATCTTCTCCAATACACTTCATTGCCGATATTCGTTAGTGGAATACTTTACTTTGCGTCATTTTGGTACAAATCGTTAAACATCTTTAAAAAAATCATTCGGAAATAATTCAGATTGAAACTTCCATTTTCTATGAGAATTAACAGATTTGAAGCCTAAAAGTAGACAAATGATCAAAGTAAATTAAATAGAGTAAAAAAATTGAAAAATATTAAGGGCAACTCTACAATTCAATGAACAATTTGTTCCTGATATTTCCAAATGTCAAACAAGTTCATGTTAAGTTTCGCTTCAAAGCAATTGCTTTTATTTCAGAGGTTACGTCAAGAAAACAAGCAGCTTCGACACAGATGTGAGATGTTGGAGGAAGAAAGCAAAGCTCTGGCAGATCGTCTCGTCAAGGGACAAGTCAGTAGGGCTGAAGAAGAAGAAACAACTTTTGTGGTGCAACGTGAACTGGATGCTTTGAGGCATACGCACTTGGAGACCACTCACGCTCTTGCGTTGGCCAACGAGAAGATTAAATCATTGTCTTTGATGATGGAACAAACGGTGAGAAATCGGGGTGACTGGTTTGGGGACGTATTTCTTCAAAGATGCGTAAAGAGAGTTTTATTGACTAAACCACAACCCATTTTGAAATGTTAAAAAAATCCAATTGAAGTTTGTTGTTGTGTACTTTCTCAAATCCTCTATGACTTTTCATGCTGATGTTTAGGGGAGAATTCAAATAGTAATTAGTTTTACTTTGATTTGTTTGGAATGAATATAATCCTCTGGTATTATACAGCTGGTATTATACAGCTGTCCAAACAATTATTAATTATTTTATATAGGAACTCAATATCAGCTATTTGGCGTCTATCTGCCAAAGATATCAGATTGAGTTGTTTTTTTATTTATAAGAGATCTTTGAGATTATTAAAGAACTTTCTATTGATAAAGGTGACGAATTTGTTTTGTATAGATTCAAGTCTTTCAATGTACGAGATATACAGGGGGTTCCAAATGACTGAAGCAGAACTGAGCTGGCTATTTACATAAGCCATGTAAAGTGTACGAACAGAGTTAGTATTACGGAAGTTATGACAAGTCCTGGTTAGAAATCCAAGAGCTTTGCTGGCTTTTTTTGCAATATAGTTAAAATGCGAGTTAAATAATAGCTTAGAGTCATATAATACTCTCAAGCCCTTGAGTTCAGATGTTTTCTTTAGTTGCTGTTTATTTATGTGATATTGCTGGTGGTAAATATTTTTGTTTCTTGTAAATGTAATAGAGTGGGATTTTTTAAGAATAAGGAATAAAGTGTTTTTCTCGCAGAATTTCACAAGATTATTGATGTCGTTCTGAATGAGAAGTGAATTGTTGGAACATGTCACAGTATGGAATACTTTCAAGTCGTCAGCATACATTAAAAAATCACAGTAGGAGAAACAACTAGATATATCGTTAATATAAATGTTGAAAAGGAGAGGCCCCAGATGGGAGCCTTGAGGGACTCCGGAAGTAATATTGATGAATCTAGAACTAAATTTTCCCAGAGTAACTGCCTGAGACCTATTTGTAATATACGACTGTAATTTATTCATTCTACCGGTGTTGATTTTTAAACAATTATAATGTTCTACATAAGTCTTTCTCAGTGTAACATCTATTTGCAAGTGTTGGTATATACTCTGCTTACCAGAACATGAAAGGTGTGAAAAAGTGGTAATGTAATATTAATGAATCTAAAACTAAGTTTTCCCAGAGTAACTGCCTGAGACCGATTTGTCGAATGCCTTGCTGAAATCGGTAATGCCAGGCATCAACCTGGGTAGCCTTTATCCATGCTCTTCAAGTGATATTCAGTATAAATAAATAAATTGGTTTCAATCGAGTGATGTTTTACAAATCCATGCTGTTCATTATTGATTGAGGATCCAACATCAAAGCATATATAGTCACAAATGATTGATTTGAGAAGTTTGGAAATTAAGCAGAGTTTGGACGTCATTTCTAATATTCAACAACAATTAGATATATGAAATGTGGACTATTTTCTCTCAATTTGCAAGAGGCGTTTGACACAATTAGTCATAATATGACATTGAAAAAATTGAACATCATTGGTATTCAAGGGATCATTCATAGATGGTTTGAAACGGATGTATCTAACAGAAAATAATTTGTATGTCTAGGAAAAAATGCCAGTTCATTGAAAATTTTCACTTGTGGAGTCCCACAAGGGTCTATTTTGGGTCCAGAAACCAGAAGTTTTGTTTTCAATAGGAGAATACATTGGAATATGTGACTTTATCAATGAAAAAAAAATAATATGGTTGAGTTTTTTATTAGAGTCTAACAGTTGAAAAATGTGCTTTTTGACTTTCATTCATTATCTTCAATGTATCGAGATAAAAGGATGCTGGCAAATCAATAATAATAATATAATATATNTTTCATATAAACATTGAATTACACGAAATAAAAAAATTCTTTCGAAACAAATACTTCTATATGAACACTGAATTATACAGAAGATACTTTTCTCTACTCAGTTTGTTTTTCAAACATTCGTTGTGGAATAAAATCAGATATCATTCACATGAGTTCTACTTTAAATGAATGGTAACAAATTGCACTTACATGGAACACTGTCATCCTCGCTGGTATTCATCGATGTTTCGCCATAAGACACTTGCCCTAAGACTCTTCAGTACCAAATTGGATAACATTATAGAAAATACACACAATTCATTCATGAATTACGATTTTTTAATGTCACGGAATAGGCTTGATCTGCTTATGTCATCGATGACATCGTAATGACATTCATTCACCTATTTGATTTAATCCCAGCCAAGAGGAATCTTACTTCGATTGAAGGGGTTATATCCAAGCATCCAAGAGTCTAGAGTCTCCACAAGTTTAAAGCATATTTTTGGATGCTTTCAAAAGTCTGGAAAAAGCAATGTGTCGCATCAGAACTATGAACAGTGACAAAAGTTCCATTTTAAACAGTCCATTGTATTCCTTTTCATGAATCACTCTGTTGAAATTTTCGGGAACTTCAACGAGAAAATTTTCCACCAGTTTCCACCTGAAATCATTTATGTGCTAGAAAGAACAGTTTGGATTTATTATATTGCTTGCTACAGATTATCGCATTATTATTTTTTAGTTGGATTCTAGAGATTTTTGACCTATTGTACTACATGTACTATTGTTTTTTACAAAATGTATTGTTTCAGAGTCATTTAACACAAGTACATCTGTCGAAAAGTTGTATAAGAGAAATTTCTAATATTCAGTTCAATCATTTCAGGAACATAGGCAAGAACCGAAACCTACATCATCAAGTGACGCACTTAGTACTCCCAAGAAGCTACTGTTTTGGGAGCATCGTCATAATGAAACTCAAAAGTTGGAAGAAGAACTTATGACAACTCGAATAAGAGAAATGGAAACTCTAACGGAGGTCAAGGAATTGCGTTTAAAGGTAACATAATAACTTAAATGTCATCTTTACATTTTTGAAATAATCACTGTTCATTACAGAAGAAATAATTACAGTTCTCATCACTCCTGACTCAGAAATGTAATATAGCATGATCTCTTAAAATGTAATCATTTATCAATGGGTATCCCATTTTATGAATTTTCATTTGTTTTTTTGTGGGACAATTAAGTTAAAACTAAGAAAATTAATGTATTCGTTCTACTGGGATTGATTTTTAAACAATTCTAATGTTCTACATAAGTCTTTTTCAGTGTAACATCTATTTGGTATATATATGTTGGTATATATTTTGTTTACCAAAGCATGAAAGGTGTGAAAAAGTTGTATGTTTTCAGTTTGTTTCACAGAAAAATTTTACTTATGCTCCACTAAAAATTCAGGAAAATGTGTCAAGAGTCAATGACGAGTCTTCATTTTTTGAGCAACTGAAGATTTAGTTGTGATAATATTTTGACATAATGGTGGAGCACTCAAAATTTTTAACATTTCTTGAATACTGCATACCTTATAAACCATTTTCCATGAACTCAATCTGATACAAATAATAAGCTGACCAAACTGTGGAGAAGATCTAACAAGGGAGCATTTCCAGCTTTTGAGATATATATTAAGATACATTATGGGGGTACAATATCGCATTTGTCATCTACCTATTCTTGATGTATTCCTGAAAGAAATAATCCTGTTTTTCATATTTAACCTAAGTTCATTTTCAATACACCAAAGATGAAACATACCAATTGTTTCTAATATTTTCAGGTCGTCTGGAAATAATAAGAAAGAATTGTTGAAGATAGAATGAACGTCATTGATAAATAAATTAAAGTGAAAAGGCTCGGAGTGGGATCCTAGAGGGATTCCAGACCTGACCATAACTGTTTTGGAAATTGAAATGCTGATATTGACGCAGAGCTCTAAATCACTTTCAAAAGATTTTCAGTAATACTGTGACAAATTAAAGAATTAAGTGTCTCAAACAAATTAATCACAAACTATTTGAATTTCTTGTTTAACCGCTCGATTCACTTTCCGAATTGCCCTCTTGGGTCGGGAAGACGGGCTTATATCGGTAACGGTCCTTTCTAGAATTCTGTAGTCGGTTCGGTACTAGAATTTTACCGGCGATTCCCGACTGCATTCTTTCGCGGTGATGTCATGTGTTTGTTCCATGAGTTGGCCAGCGTACTGGTCAGAAACGGCTTCAGATTCGTTACAATACCATAAACTTGGATTTAGCAATCACTATATAGTGAATAACTTCAATCAAGTGCTCTAGCATATAGAATCAACTTGTGATTTGTTTACTAAGGCATTAGTGATGTAATTTTAATGAATACCTACGTTGGTTAGTGTTGATATATTCTGGATGAATCCCTACTTTTCACAATAGAAAAATCTTCTATATTAAAGAATTTTATCATAGGTAATGGAATTGGAGACACAGGTTCAAGTTAGTACTAATCAACTCCGTAGGCAAGATGAGGAAATTAAAAAACAAATTGAAAACCTCGAAGCTGCTGAGTTGAGAGACCGAGAAGCGGCAGCCCGTCTTTTGGAGGAACAAAGAAGATATTCTGATCTTGAGAGTAAGATGAAGGATGAACTTATGAAGGCGAAAATTAGCGATGCTGAAAAGACACAGTGCGTTGCCGAACTTACTCAAAAAATAAGTCAACTCGAATTGAAGGTAGGTGGAATATTCAATTCATTGATGATGATAATTATAATAGTCTTTATTTATCCTTCTTCACAATAAATTTTAAAACAATGGTTAGGTAGAGAACAGAAATATTACAGTCACAAGAGCAATATAGAACTGCCTATTCCCACAAGCTCCTTAGGGACTCAATTCAGGAGTATTTTGATGATATGTTCGACTCTTGATACACTTACGAACTAATATTTATTCGCTTAGTATATGTATATTTTTATGTTTTCTGTGATATTCATACATTTCAACTTGTTCTCATTTACCACTCGCCAACCTGAGCTCTTTATTTTATATCTTCATTTTTATTTATATTTGTTTGGATTGTAATACTTTGTCTATAAGATGTATTTTTCTTCTGACAATATAGTACATTTGATTTGATTTTCTCTTCCGAAAGTAAAACATCATAGTCACGATTGAACTCATGCCTTTCTGCCAAAAAATTGTTTGCAAAAGTGGAATTGGTCTTCGCATTGATGATTCTACTATGTTCTTTTATTATTTGGCAAGAACGACAATTCAACTTATACACTCCTGATCCATCTGACACTGCAGTTTTGTCTTCATTGTTTCTAATAAATTTGCTTGAATTAATATTTGTTCTGTAAGCCACGTCCAAGTATTTCATGTCATGTTATAAACTATTTTCAAAGAGATATGGTAGCATTTTATGCTTTGATAACTAATAATAATTTATTTCAGAGCCAAGAAATAGCAACAGAGGGTGAACTCAGAATTCATTCGGTGGATGACAGTGATAAAGTGAGAGATCTTCAAGACAAAGTGGCAGATTTGCAGGCAGAGGTCAGTATTCCTATTGCTTGATTAAGTTTCTGCTAAAATCAATCTGACGCACTGTGTTTATAAGCACATGCTTCGCTTTTTTTCATTTTGTACATAACTTTTGAGTTTACTGTCAATTATCTTATAAAATTCAACATAATGAAAGAAATGATCATCATGAGCTATCTTTGAGAAAATATTAATGTCTATAGAATAATTTACTGATTTGTTTTTTGTTTTTAAAGAAATTGTTTATATAATAATCTTCCATTCTGAATAATTATTTCGAAAGTTCTGAAGTGAATAACATTATCAAATCAAATTTTAATTTTTTGTGAAATGCTACTAACAATTTATTCAGTTTCCCACGCCTATCACTAGCCCGGACACTGAGCCTTGGAGATGGCTCGAGTAAGTGTACAAAAGTTTGCTTGTTTTTGTTTTTAATCATTCGCATGTTTGTACAGTTAAGAGGGAATGATATGAGTGTTTATGTTTTTCAAAAAAGGTAGTACTGAGTTAATGCCCTTCATAAAAGCCAGAATGTCGCACATGCCGATTTATATTATGGAAAAGTATCAATAATTATGAAACCTCAGAATAGAAAATAGAGTCAATTTGAAAATTGTACGAGCGAAATTTAAGATGCAGGCATTTTTTACAGAAAAAGCATAGGTTCCTAATCAGGTTGATATCTCTGTCCTAGGTCTGCGACTGAAAAAACATGCTCCAGAACCGGAAGGTGTTTTTGATCCATCTGTGAACCAACAACGATCTGCTCTTAATATTTCCTTCTCCCACAGGATCCAATCCTCTCTACTCGGGAATAGTACTTTATAAGACAGTTCGTAGTTGACAGTTGGAGGCATAAAGTCAGAGGTCATTTCCAGAATGCTGTGACTTCCAGTGTCAACCAACAGTCTGTTGCCCTCTGCATTAAATTGATTTGTGCAATTAGCAATGTGTACAAGCCTGTATGCAGTCCATCTAGCCTCTCTCTCTAGAAAAATGTGGAGAGGAGGTAGATCTAGAAGGATCTCCATGGCCGCTGACGGTTTGGTACTGATGGCACCACTGATAGCCAGACAAGCCTGTCTCTGTAAGCCAGAGACCTTTGCTTGGGCCGTTTTTTCTCAAGCCTTCGGCCACCAGGCAATTGCACCATAAGTGATCATTGGTCTAACAATCATCACATAAATCCAGTGGATTTGTTTGGGACCTAAACCCCAAGTTTTACCACACATCCTTCGACATGTCCATAGATACAGTTTGGCTTTGTGTAAAACTTTTTCCAAGTGAGCGTTCCAGGTGAAACTTTTATCAAGGATAATGCCAAGATATTTCACCTCCATTCCAAATGGAATGACCTCACCATTGAGGGAAAGTGGCGTTAGATCGTCCAATTTTCTCCTCTTGGTAAAGGGGATTAATACAGTTTTGCTGGGGTTGACAGACATCTGCTCCGTCAGGCACCAACTGTGAACAACGTCCAACGCGCTTTGGAGGATATTACAAGCTACACTTCCCGACGTGGACCTTGCCAGGATGACAAGGTCATCTGCATAAGCTTGCAGTCAACTTTTCTTCTGTCCAGGGCATCAAGCAGACTATCCATCAGGAGCGACCACAGAAGAGGAGATAGTACCCCACCTTGAGGGCAGCCCCTGGTGACCCTGAACCTAATGGCTTCGCCTTGAAGAGTCGTAGTTGCAGTTCTCTTTACTAACATGGCATAGATCCAGCCAGTTATGGTCGATTCTATACCCTTCCTAGCCAGAGACAATCCTATAGATTTGCTATAGAGATGCTCCTTCTATATCAAGAAATACAGCAACCGCAAAATCCTTGTTGTCAAGGGATTGGGAAATTTTCTCAAGTTTTATTTTTTGGTACTTCGGGAGCTGTCTGACTTGTCCATTTAGTCCAAGTCTCCATAGAACACTGCAGCCTCTTGGGCATATTGCGTTTATTTTCCCATCTTCTCATGACACCCATTCCATCAGTCTCGTTCCCTGTACTAGTTTGTACGGGTTCCGTGTTGGATGTTCCTCATATTCTTCTGGACGTTATTTCGTACGTCCATATATTGCCTGCCTCCTGTGATTCATTGCCTCACATTCGCATAAGATGTGTATCCCTTAGTTGCATAATCTGCAGCTGGGTCCTCGTTGTACAGCCTCATTTTATTCAGGTGTCCTCTAAGCGGACAATGACCGGTTAGTAACCCTTTAATTATTCTGAGCCGATCCCTACTATATTGAAGTAGTTCTTCGGTTCTTTTCTCGGACGGTTCCCTACCTCAACGAGGTTGTTTAATGCTAAATCTGTTGATTTGCCGGTTTGATAAGCATCCTGGTGGTTATTCAGGGGAGATGCATATAATGCTACCCTCCTGATGTGTCCGTCCAGTATCCTCTCAAGTTCTTTCAACAGGAAGGATGTAAGGCTGATTGGTCGTACCGATTTAGGGTCTCTCCGATCCACTTTAGGTATGTATACCACCCTTGCTGCAACTAGGTGGTATATAGTTTCACGCCAGACTAGCTCTATAGAATTTTGTGAGAACAGGTAAAATTATTTCCAGTCTGTTTTGAAGAAGAGCTGGAAATATACCATCCTCTCGAGGAGATTTGAAGGGCTGAAAATACTTGATAGCTCATTCAACTGCCGGTGCTGTGATAACCTTCTTTGCAACGTCCCAATCATTCTTTTTTGGGCGTTTAGCGCCCGCGAAGATGGGAGCTGTTGTTATCAAGAGTCAGATTTCCAGAAAAGTGGTTTTCTATCAGAAGCTCTAACGTTTCTTATCATGAATGTTCCATCGGGTCGTTTAAGCGACTCGATTTCAGCATTCGGCTCTCTAGAGAGAATCTTGTGAATTCTTGTGCGGCGAGGTGAATCATTAATTAGGTAGAAGGTCATATGAATCAAATTGTTATTATAAAGGTACAGCATGATGACTGTCAGTTAGCCATATTTTGGGAATCAATAGGATTCATATCCTGAAAATTGGGAAATATAGGTTTCTCAATATGATTTATCCAATGAAAATAATGGTGTTTTTCGAACACTTTCGGTTATACCGGATGTTGGTACCAACTTCCTTAATTCAAATGTCACACCCTTGATATTTTCACATTTTTGAATACGTGGCATAATTCTAATGTGGCTTTATGTAATACTACGCTATTATTGATTCATCATCTTGTAGAAGTAACATTTCCAAAAAAAACCAAGGTGTTCAGAATCGATGACTTCTGAATATATTAAATGGATCAAAACTCAGTGGTTTCAAATGGAACACCCTGTATCTTAGGATAGTTTTGAAATTCCGAGATGATTTTGACTCATTTTCATGAAACATATAAAAAAATCAACCGTTTACAAGATATTTCATAAGCAAGCCTTCAGTGTATACCTTGGATCTTCATGGAACTTTGAATGTTTTTATTCATATTGATTTTGGGAAATGAATCCTTTTTTGATAACAATTACTTTTTTTTTTATCAATTTCAATGTGTACTCATCTTGCAATAGCCTTCGGTCCGGCAAAGTTGAAAACCCAGAGAGGTTCATGAAATGCTGTTTGTATTGTAGTGATCTCAAAATTCGATCTGTACAATCAGTTTCAAAAAAAGCTGATGATGAAATTTTTGAAAAAAATCCTGAAGCAAATTTACCATCCGAAGGATATGCAACTTTAAATTTATTTGGTGAGTTTTTGTTTTGACTATCGTCCTTCTGTAATGGCTCGTCATTGAGGTACTTATGTTGAAGGTAACTCGAACAAAAAAATTAAACTTGCGAAAAAAAATCGGAAATCTCTGGTGGTAATTCACGGACAATTAACACTCAGTGTTTTTTGCAAGATAGAATGTAGTGGAGTGTTCCGATTGCCTGCTAGGAAAAGTTTTGGCGGCATGCTAATTTTTTTATAATAAATTTATGTTCCTCAAGCGTTCAATCCCATCGGTAGTTTTTTTTAAACATTTTGATCATCTGTTGAATATTTCAGGTCTTGAGACTAGAAAGAGGCGGTACAGGCTACGGAGGCGGCCGCTTATCAGGAGACAGATCATCCTCAATCGACAGCACAGAAGACGACTCCAAACTTGTTTTGGAGGACCCAACGCTTCGATTGAGTATCTCCGACTCTCCGACTACGTCACCTCAAGAGCCTAATTTTTGTGAAATATCTAATACGAAAAGAAATTTAGATTTAGCCCCCAACATGAATACGCACACAGCCGTAGATGTACATAATAGTGGAAATAACATGCCACAAGTCTGACACGATAACTGAAAGTTTGTGTTAGGTGAAATTGAATACTATGTTTCTGCGAAATGGATATAATGTCTGTGGTATCTAAAATAAGATGTTTTGAAAGAGTTGAAAATATGGTTCGAGATCGGAAATATACAGAGGTATACTACTCATAATCGATTTATCGTTCTTTAGTCAAATTGATGGATAGAAAGGTTTCACTGTGAAAGGTAGGCAATTTAAAAAATTATTTGTGGTTCGTCTTGAGGCAGCTTACACGATATTTGAAAAAATTTTGAAACTCGATTTGGTAGCAGATAATGTGATGTATCTGTATTTAACATAATAGTGTATTCAAGTCAAATATAATTATTTGAAAACGCACACCTTTTTTTAGGGCATTATCCCTCGATTCTCTCAACATTTTTGTAATACTTAGCTTTCTAGATGGTTTTTTTAAACTCTAGGTGACAGTGTGTGTTTGTACGTATTTTATAGTTGCCGTTTCGAATGCATTCAAATGCTCGTGATTAAAATAATGAATTAGTGATATATTGGAATAATTGAAATTGATTTGATAAAAAAATGGTGCAGGGTTTGTTATGATATAAAGTATAATTTATCAAAAGACCAACTACTAAAATAGAGAGCTGAAGTCTACGAAACGATTCAACGAACATTTTCTACTCCAGTTTATTGTGCTTTGAAAATGTTTACTTATTGTATTTGTGGAATCGATCACAGGGTTTTTACAAATATATTTCATTTTTTCAGGTTTTGAAAAAGCTTGATTTGAAGTGTTGATAGTATTGTTACTTTCAAAATAAGTGGACTAATATCTTGACCGAGAATAAAGGTATTATATTACTTTCCTTCCCACATTTCCTGTTTATCCGTGATCAGATGTAGAACATTGTTTTTTCATCAGCGCTTGTAAAGATTTTTCCAGCTTTCTCTACAATTCTGAGAAGGAATGTGGGGAATTTGGTCGATTGTTGAGAAATCTTTTCTAAAAAAAACATTCCGAGGTGCAATATTAATAAAACTTCAATTCAATGTGAACATGAAATATCTAAACATGTCATCTGCATTTTGATTCAAACTTGTTCTCTAGCAAAGAACATTCAGTTTTTCAAATATCTTATGAATTGTTAGAAATATAAATATTGAATATTAGATTTAGATTCGCTATTATATATGTTTAGACACCCATTAAAGATGAAGTGTTCCAAAAATTGGCCATACACATTTTAATGATTGAAAAGTCAAAGTTGATTGTAGATACTTGTCCAATCTAAGTTTTTTTTTAAATACCGACTACTAATGTTGGGAGAAACTTTAGTTTGAATTTGATTCATGTATAATGTGTAATGGCCAGTCTATAAAATCATTTGAATATTGATGATTCCAAGGTAAATAGTATGATGTTCAGTAGTAGCATTTATATCGATGGTAAAATCATAATCAGTGCAATATTTTGAAGATTTTTACAAGGTGAAATTTTGGATAATTTACAGAATTCTTCGTGTCAAATTATGGAGATAATATTGAACTATAACAAATACCCATGTGACTGTGATAGAATCATTAGTCCCACAGTCATTGATAGTATTTACCTGATTCATTCTTAAAATTCGGTATATTATTTTCAATTGCTTTCAGCTCTTTTGAAATATGTATACAAAGTATATTTTAGTTTTTAATGTTGTGTAAATTTCTGAAACTCATTTGTTTTTTCATTTAAAAAAGTATTTTGAGAATGTACCAAATGATCAGAAAATTTATCAAGAATGTTCTCTCTTAATTGCTTGATATTAATGTCATTTTATGGCAGAAAATCAGAAAGTTATCAATTGTTATGATTATCTTCCCTTCAACTACTTTTGTTTGTGCAATATGTTTTCTAATTTTTTATTTTATTATAAATGTTTTCGCGCAATTGTAAGGTGACTTGTGTAATTTTTTAATGACTTTTATGGTTTTAAACTTTTTATATACATTCCAAAAACGAACCACTTGAGCTGTGTGGGGTTGAAAATGGTAATTTGTTAAAATAAATGTTCTAATACTCTGAAATACAATTTCAAATATCAAATATGTTAATACATGCTGAATGTGATTATCCCATTTTGTTTTTATTTTGATTCATGCATTTATTTTCGTAACAACCTACTTAAGCAATAAAGTATTATTAATTGTAAATATTTTTGTAAGTATCAAAATCTGTATAAAAAACATACAATAAAATTGAACAAATACCTTATATACAGCGCATTTCATTATTGTCCCCCCCTTTTATTTTTTAAACGACTCAACTCAAAAAATTGAAATTTGGGATAATGAAATTAATGCATGAATAGTCCATTTTGAAGTAACATTGACAGATGAAACTTTCAAGATGGCGACTGTGCGCCATTTGGGAAAAAATTAAATGGAAAGGGGGGTCTTGTGACACATCTTTCTGAAGCTCCTGACAAATGCTTCACAACCCTACAATATAATGTAAAACTCTTCAATTACTAAAAAATGGCGGAACTTTTAATAATTGCCTGAATACATTGACATTTAACTACATAATATGAGGTAATAAGCTTGAGGTCAGATCAGAAGATGCGGTATATCCAATATTGAAGCAGGCTCAGTTTCGTACACCTTTTGCTTCAAATAGCCTCATTAAAAAAAGTCTAAAGGTGTCAAATCTGGCGAGCGGGCTGGCCATTTTGTAGGACCTCGACGGCCAATCCAATGACCGGGAAAAGTAGTATCGAAATAGTTTCTTACTTATGTGGAGTAATGTGGTGGTGCTCCATCTTGTTGGAATACAATATCCATATCGAATTCATTGGGATTCGCTTTGACGATTTCAGTGATGAGAGGGTCAACAGTAGTTTCCAGTATATTCAAATACAGTTCCCCTGTTGAATTTTGATCAATAAATGGAGGTCTTACACTATGGTTTCCTAATATTCCTGCCCAAACGTTAATTTTTTTTGGATATTTTCTGGATATTATTCCGGAATGGACGGATGACCTGGGGGCTTTTTGTTATGTACACTACCGGTAGTTGTGAATTTGGATGCAAGTTCGCTCAAATATTTTCTACAGAGAGGACGATTCGGAAACGTTCATTGAAAATCCTTTGAGTCTCGTGAAAGTTACGCGTCGCACCGTAAATAAAAATAGCTTCAACTTTTCTTCCAATGGACGAGAATTGACCATTTTAGAGATTGTTAACGTGGTACCTTTCTACTAGTAAAACCGAAAAGTAAATGAGAATATTCTAACTGAACAATGATGTTGATTGTCGTACTGACATTTTTTGTCGTTTTTATAAACAAAAAATAACTTAACAAACCTTATCGTGTTGTTGGAATTGCCATATGGCAGATAAGAAGGAATATTTATAGAAATATCGATATTAATGCGTTTGTCTTCATGAAATTATTAAATGTTCCGCCATTTTGTAGTAGGTGAAGATATCGACTTCATATTCTAGGGTTGTGAAGTATTCGTCAGGAGCTTCAAAATGATGTGTCACAAGACCCCAACAAAATGGATCGGTTGTTGTGAGGACTCCATGTCAATATGTTTCAATGTTGAGTATATTTTCATTTAATAATATTACAGATCCTAAACTAGTCGTAAATAGTTCAGTTGATTGTTTCAAAGTTGCGAATCAAGAAATACAGCCAAAACTATGATTGAAAATAATTCCAAAGCAGTTGCAAATATGTTTTTCGATTATTTTTCAAGTTGCGAATCGTGAAACCCAGATTTCCATTATCTAAGACTGTGATGGTAATGGAACAAACCAGCCCCGAAAATGCAATTAAGAACACATTTTTGCGTTATTTAGGATGATTTTAAAGGCTAGAGCGGTTATCATAGAAAAACTGCTTAAGTTGAAATGACTATTCAGAGTATGATCATGCTGAATATTATTTATTGTTTTAATCATGAAGTTTGTAACCTAGAAAGCAAAATCTCGGTGAAAAGGCCTGACTTTTCATCAATTTAATTGATTGTGTTTTATCTATTGAATCTATTAATACTAAATAGAGATGATCAGTTATGATTCATATTAATAATTATTATTATTGACATCATTGAATCTACAAGAGATATCGACAGACACAATCTCTAAGTTACATTACTAAACAGTGACAAAGTACAAATATTTTTACAATGTTGGGAAAATGAAACGCAAACGTTTTTTGATGAGACCAAGCTTAAAAAAGCGAGGAAGTTATTCCATTAATGAATTGTTAGTTCAGTTACGTGAGGATGATATTGGACTAAGTGGTGAGATTCGTTCAAACTTTAAGAATTTTCTAAGAATGTCCACCGAAGATTTCGAGAATCTGATATGCCTTGTTGGTCCTGCAGTTGCCAAAAGACATACCAACTACAGAAATGCTATAAGTGTAACAGAAAGGTTAGCAATAAATTTAAGATTTCTATCAACAGGCGATTCCTACCACAGCCTCATGTATCTTTCAAAAGTATCAAAGCAGTCCATATCTGTAATAATACCTGAAGTTTGTGAAGCTTTAATTAACAGTCTTAGTGTTTATGTAAAGGTATGTATAACTTTTGTACGTAATTGGTTTGTGTTAATATGCTGTAACATAAACTGATTTACTACCTGGTCACCTAGTTTTGTCAACGCGCACCGTCCACACTGCGCCGACAACTTGTCGTAAAATATGTAGACAAAACAGAGACCCTTTGATCTTTATCGACTGGCGACGGGACTTGCAACAGTCTCAGAATTTGGAAACAAAACCCAAATAAGACAGAAATTTATCGGATTTGTCGCCACTTTGTCGCGAAACATGAATGTTCCTGTCTTGTCGTTGTTTTGTCTGCTTGGTCTGGACCCGGCATAATAGCCTAAGCAATTATGTACATTTTCCCTCTTTATTGACAAATGACGTTTTGTCTTATGCGATTGGATTTCAGGATTTTCAGTTGTATTTTTGCATTTTACCGAGGATTTGATCTATTTATAGCATTCAAGATGTGCCATAAAAGGCAGAATAACAATGCAATTGCCATGCAGCAATTAGGGTAGTAACATATTATCAATCTTTTAACCTGATAGGCTGATATCCAAAATATTTTGCATGAATTAAGTTTATATTTGGTAGCGACATTGGGTTTCAATTTGAAATGACGAATAACCCATCTTCAATAGATATTCCAACTCTACAAAAATGTAGTAAATGAGGATTTAATTTAATAAATAAGTCCTATCCTGATTTTCTTCTAGATTCTCCATCTTGGCCTGATTTTATTGATTG